AGAGAAAGGAACCAGAGTGAATAGCCAGCCATATGGCAGCGGTTACGTGGTTTGTGACGTAAGGGAAAAGAATCTTGGGGTCATGGGGCTTCCCCTGACCTAGATTCTATCTCTCTGTTATTGGCAGAATCGCTGATTAATGCCTACAGTTCAAAATAGTCATTTTAACTGACCGGAGTCTATGGTGGGTATGAACTATGTGAATAGGCAGGTTCGGAGAACCCTCTGCCTAACTCTCAAGAAAACAGCAAAATAATACAGGATTGCATCATTAACCTCTGCTATGTGATATGACATCCATATTGCCTTCATGAATGGTGTTCTTGTGACAACATCCTAGCAACATGCCAATGTGTACCCCCTTTTTATATTGAATGTAAAACATGTTATTGCATTTCTTTTGCAGTCCATAATACAATCCAGTGCCTTCACTGTGTTGGTAAATATGAAATATTAGAATGGCAGAAAAGCCATCAACCAACTAAAGTACAGAGGAGTTTAAACAGCAGTAAAAAGCAGATTTACAGATCTCCAGTCCCCCCTGCGAAGTAAGTTTACTTATTTGTTTTGTATGTTGTTTTCATTTTGTTGATTATGATCATTTAATTTTCTATTGCCTTTTAATCATTATGGAATGTGAATAACCTGTGGACTGCCCACTAGTGACAACTTTATTATTTTTTAATAATATTTTTATTGACAAATGTTATATACATGAATATATATGAATATTATGCTTCATAGCAAATGGTAGAACAAGTGTAATTTTTCTCTTACACACACTACATTTGTATATATCATAACATGTTCAGTGTTGGGGTATATTCAGTAAATTGGCAAGTGTCTCGTGAGTTTATTAATAATAATATTACCGGTACTTAAAACATCATGAGATCCAAGCATGGAGTGTCTCTAGAATATTTTATGTTCACTCCACATATCATTTACTAATACTGATTTCTCATTCCAAATATTTATCTCTCAGAAAACCAAATTCGAGCAAAGGTATTCATAGATAAAACTTATGTGCTAATGCCGTGTTTACTGATGATTGCAAAGATTTTCCCATGTTGTTTTATTCCACCCAAACTTTTGTGTTATGTGATTACCATGCTCGTCCGACTTCGCACCCAGGGTACTCATGTTTTTTGGGGGTCAGCACCTAGTTGAGTGCACGCTTTTAAAAAAGATTAACCAAATGACCATATTCGTTCACCATGTGGCTTATTGGAGTGAATATTGTATCTTTTTGCTCACAAAAAATATGCACATTTTATTGCAAATTATTTACATACCATCAAAATGTATGGTGCAAGAAGTATTAGGGGCTGTTGAAAAACAGTCAAAGTCAAAAGCTTCTTCATTATCTTCATTGTTGAATGTTTCTGATTGTACACAAACTCTTGATTCAAAGCAATTTCTGGCATGCTGTTTTTCTGTATGATTTGATTTGATTTGATTTGATTTGATTTGCATGGGTGCTAAGTTGGACGAGTATGGTATATACCTTGCTAGCTAAAGATTATGTAACCAGGGATAAAAAACAGCAGAGCTTGGATCACTATTCAGATTCTGCTACATCGTTGATGAAGGATGTTTAGATTAGCTCTCAACTTCTTGATTACCGGTATATCAAATTGTTGTGGTGGACCAAATGATAATAATTGTTTTTGCCACTGAATAACCAATCAGTGGAGATAACCAAATTGTGATTTTGGGCTGGAACAATGTGTTGCTGCTGGCAACTATATTTTGTTATGCATGACAGTATGAGACCTATGTGTACATAAACCCTGCTTGACAATATATTCCCCTGATAAAACATTGTGTGTACTATTATAAGCTATGTAAAGTCTGTCAGGTTCTGAATGACAAACAAATCTTAAGCCTTCATAGGCAACTGCATGTATTTTGCAGTCACTTTATATAACTCCTAGGCTGGAATATAATATTTATATGAATGGCCTGGTGAAATGCTATGTAATTACATAGTTAGCACTAAATTCTGTGTCATATATCACTGTCTCTATGACTTCAGTATACTAGCATGGGAATATACACATGTGAAGACCGACCTGTAGGTACATGTAAGGTATGCCAACAGCACATCAAACCGGTTCATTCGTATACATCGTTAATGATATTTATGATGTCTACTTTTTTTTACTTTTATGCAGCGTTGAATGGAATGAGTAAGTTACTAGATACATTGTTTTGTAGTTTCAGCTGTTATACTTTCTATTCTAAAAGAGTACTTATTTACCCTATTACTTCTTAATATCATCATTAGATCTATGCTATGAAGCTGTCATGTAGTATAGTGTGTAGAAAATAGGACTGCTGTATGCAACATGTAGTCTTTGCTTACATCCCATCAAATATGCCTTCAAATACAAGCTCAACATAAAACTAGTGGTACTATGTTGGAAGACAATTGGTTTATCACCAATAATATTAAGTCCAATTAGTAGTGATATTGCAAATTTTTATGTTTATTTGATTGACTGATTTATTAAAATGATTTTTCAATATTGAAAATAACATATAGATATATAAACTGTAATTTTGAGAATATGTTTGTCTATGTTTCTTTATACTTGTATTGAAAAGTAATGTATTGTTGATGTTATGATGTATTCAATATATTGACCTTGGTGTGTATAGAAGTGTGGTATAAATGCCTGTGTAAGATATTACTTTGCTCACATGAATGAGTTGCAATTATTCAGTATTATTTTAATCCCAAACTGTGGAGAGTGGTCATCATGTGAATGTATATAATAAATAAAATGGGGGAACTGACAAGAAGCCCTGTTTCTAAGTTCATTTTACTTGCTGCTATGCTCTCGCCCACCTAGTGCTCGGAGAACATATATTTTATTTGAAAAACATACTCCATTAGAAATCATTGTAGTAAATTAAGTATTACATTCTTATCATTTCTTCTGATCTCTCCTTTCACACATTATTTCTACTTAGTTGCTGAAGGAACAGACAGACTTGGATATTAGTGTTGCCTCACATAGTGCGCCCTCAAGTGGTGAGAGTGATAAACTGGTTTGTTTTTAATGATAGTATATTTTATTTGATTCTCAGAAAAGAACTAAGCCAAGCTGAGTTAAACAGATTGAGGAGAGAAGCTGAACAGAGCAAAGGAGATCACTTACCGAAGAGAGACCTGGCTGCCAAGTATTTTGGTGAACATTTTGACGGCATGTGGCAAGTGACTGGAAAATAAACCTTTTTGCTTTGTGTTAGTGGCTCCCAGGAATGTTCAATTTTTAGAGACTATTTTTTACGAAAATCTTCTTGTAGGATCATCTTTATGATGGGTTATATATTTCCAGCAGTTAGCTTGTATTGTGTTGTGTACCATGATTGTTCAGATTTTTATGCCACATCTTTTTTCATTTATATTACCTTGCAATAGCAAGTAAGTATATAAATTTATCTAAATATTGAAAGTTACTATCCACCTAATATGGCACTGTATGTAAATACTGAAAGTTACTATCCACCTAATATGGCACTGTATGTAAATACTGAAAGTTACTATCCACCTAATATGGCACTGTATGTAAATACTGAAAGTTAGTATTCACCTAATATGGCAATTTATGTAAATATTGAAAGTTAGTATTCACCTAATATGGCAATTTATGTAGATATTGAAAGTTACTATTCACCTAATATGGCAATTTATGTAAATATTAAAAGAGCCTATTCACCTAATATGGCAATTTATCTAAATATTGAAAGTTACTATCCACCTAATATGGCAATTTATCTGAATATGAAAACACAGTTAACCATGTAACAAGAGTTACTATTGTAATGTGGTATACATTTCCTTTGAGCTAAATCTCATTTTTTATGACTGTTCTGACCAGATTGTTTCTTTTAATCTGTGACTCTGATTTATATGTTGTTGTTACCACTGTATACTTTTTAAAAAATGAAATCCATATAAGGCATTGTTGCTTCAACATTATAAACATGGAATGCCCATGAACTATCAACATTTCTAGTGGCTATCTATGATTGTACGCACTCTGGTTACACCTGTACATCAAGACAATATGAAAATACGCTATAATAATTTTATTCTTTTCATAATTAATACATAACGCATAACATGAACAGTGTACATTGGTGTTTATGTCATACTGCAGTATTTTCAGTGCAAAACAGCTCCATAATAAAAAAATACTAATAAATAATAAAACAGCAATAATAAATTATGTAATGTCAAATGATTACAGATGTTTTATGGCTATGTAAAAAATAGCAGAATATGTTCACCAGGATTTGGGAATATTTCTGCAATTGCTTAGTTTAGATATTTGTTGTGCAATATCCTAATAAAATCAATATGAGGTTGTAAAGTTTTTCTGTCCACTGGACTGCAATGCTGTAAGTAAATAATGTATGAACCTTTTGGCTGTTTATTTTCTGTCCACATGATTTACTTTTAATTCATTTAATTTAATTTTTGCTGCTATCAATATCAGAGGACCACATTTTGAACATTTATCTTGAAACTTGAATTGTAGTACTAATGCGATTATAAGTTAATGCTTACAGTAATTTAGGTAGCATTTCACTTTAAGGTCTAAGTATTTAATATGTGTGTTATTTAAACATGTATATTAAATACAACAGTGTTTGGTCTTATTTGTTCTATTTTTATTGAATTTTATTTATGTCTTCCGTCCAATCAGTATTTGATCTACTGAATTTAAATAATATGTTACTTTGTTGCAACTAAAATCTGTGATTTCAAAACAATTCCTACAATTTGTTTGCAACATTTAATATGTTCATTCTGTTTTACAATTATGAAATTATACAGTTTGTATTTTTATACATATTTACAATAAAATGTTTGTTTTTTAATTCACTCAGATGATCATTTCTTTCACTTTTCAGTTGAATCAATATGATTCATGCCTCAAGATAAAAACAATAGCATTTGTATTTTGTTGCCACTGAGGGCGCATGCACATTGATTCAAAGATCTTTCTTTGCAAATCTACATTAATGTTAGTTAGATTTTCAATACATTTCTCTTTGCCATGTTCTTAGTTGACCAAGAGATGTTATTGTCACCTCGCATATATACTCCCAGAAAAATGTAAACGTGTATGCTACTAGATGCAAGTACAAGTTCACTGTGTTTACTCGGAATGGTTACACAATCCGTGATTGGTTTAGGCATTTTGTTATGCAGAAAGTGATTATTCTATCTTTCGATTATTATATAAATAATATATTATATTACGTAACCCTGTTGTTGTTTTCTCCTCTGCTCAGGGAAACATAAACATTCCCAACACTGGGTAATGATCTGATAAATCAGTTATTGTTCGTTTCTTTGAACAAAAACTTGAATCAGGATACATGTAGGACGGTTTGAATGGACCATTACTACAGATTTCCATCTGTGTCTTAGATGTAAGTTTGATTCCTTCCAATGTACTGACCCATGGTTTCAGATGGTCCTTGCTGTACACCACGTAATCCAGCCACTCAGGGCCTGGGGCTTGATTCTTATCTTCAAACATATCATTTGTAGTCGGGTCAAAGGTCGCAGTCAGTTTGCCAACACGTGGTGGTATTCCTGCATTCAGCTTGCCCAGTACGCGTCTCACGTGTCTGTGATTAGCTCTTACATCACAGTTAAAGTCTCCCGCATATATAACTGGCTCACTAAATGGAATGTTTTGGTCTTTCATAAACGCTCTCATTTCCTTAGCTTGGTCTTCCCGTACTGAGTCGTGAATGTCTCCTATCTGTGCCTGCATGTGCGTACCGAATACATGATAATTTCTGCTGGTACCTTTGACAGTTTTGATGATCTTTGCGTAGATGACGCCCTTAGCAGCAAACGCGTCTGCTTCCATGTAGTGCGTTGCTTCAAATATAGTTTCGTGCTGCTCTGTGATTGGCCAACGCGATACGATATAAACCCCACCGTCTTCCAGGAAACCAGTGTCCCGATCGCCCACTTTATTTGTCATATGAGGGAATCCATGGTGACGAAACAAATCCCTGAGTGAAACAACGCCGGGGAAGCAACCTCCCATGAACACCTCCTGCAAGACGATAACATCGACATCACCAAGCTGTTCTACTATTCGACGGGGAATCCGACAAGTACGCTCTCGCTGTCCATCGTGTACATACATGAAATCTAATTCGCGGACATTGTAAGACAATACCTTCAATATATTCGCCTGACACGGAGACCATAGAGCAGGCGCTTCTGGTACTAGACACATAACTTTTTTACCCGATAGACACGTGTCACCATCGCCCGTCATGTCTTTACCCGCACAGCTCATACCGTAAAGGGCACAGTCACTGCATTTACCGTCACACATTGGCGATGAACCTAAAGGTTAAATAATATGGTATTAGACCAAAATTGGCAATTATCCTTGGATATTTGTTAGTATTGGACAATAGTTTCAGACATGACAAGTATCTAGTACGAAATGCAAGAAACAATAATGACAAATCGTTGATCAGTATATAGACTGTCGACATTCCCTCTGGCCTAATGTTTTTTTTGTTATTTAATCAAATGCCACAATGGTTTCAAGCGAGTGCCGTACGCAATTCAAAAATACAAATTAGTAAGACTGCACATTCATGAATTGAATCATGTTTCTATTGTGACTGGTGTAAGCCTGGTAAATTTCATTTTTAAACCAAAAAAAAAAAAAACAAAAAAAAAAAACACCCAAACACAAAAATGAAATGTCGATAGACGAGTCACTTCTAAGATGTGAATATGGGTAAGGCTATTCACAGCGGTGGTTTTTTTTCTGATGCGCAGTAAAAAAAATGTTTGTGAGAGATTTATTGTAATTCTGAATGACGAACGACACCCAACATGCGTCGATTTGAATTACATTATATTGTGTTTATCATATACAGACAGAGGGCATCATATGTGTACCGACTAATTGACGAATATTATGTAGCAGAAATGTATAGGTGATCGTGTTTATAACCTACATTTAAACAATATATACGTATATATACTACTATTCTTTGATTTCGCAATGAAAGAGAGGGCATGTTTTGTTGTTGTTGTGTCGTCAAACCGCACATTACAACTCGGTTATAATTTTTATGAAAACTAATATCCGTTATGCCCTCTGCTCTTATATATATGCAGTGAACAGTACACTTACCAAGCCATACTTTCAGCTTGGGTTTCATTGCCAGTGCCCCAAATCGTTTACTGGAGGCCTTTTCATCAGGAACACATAGTCGTTTAATTCCAGTCACGCAGCAAGACCCATCTCCACACTTAGCTGAGGTGGCATATTTCAAAAACCTGGTACGACAGTCGCTAGGCAGAGTGTTACAGAATGGCCCTGCTCCAACCCACTCTTGTCCTTTAACGGTTGCCCTCTGTTTGCACCATACTTTATTGCCTGCCCAGCACGTGTCTTGAAAGTATCCAATGAACTCATCGCCTCTGTCTTCGCAGTCTTCCGGGCTGGCGTTACAGAACGGACCCGTGCCAATGTCGTATATGGAACCTGGAAAAGAGTTGTGAAGTTCTCGGATAAATCGTGAAGCTCAAGGAAGGAACATTTTTTAGTTCATGATTAATAATAAACCAATATGTACAATAGCAATGTTATAAAATACATATTTTCATCCATATTACATCTTTAATCTACCATATAACCTGCCGATAGTAGAATAATTGATGTACAAATAGTAATTGTGTGAATACACAGTCATTTTTATTGTTGATAGTAGTAATGGAAAACGTCCACAACGTGGGTGTTCCAAACAAAATAACCGGAACTGGCCACTGGGGGCTAGCCACCGGGACTGGCTACTGAAAATATCCATCGAGACTCAGGCTGTTCACTGGGACTAGCCACCATGACTGGCCATTGAGACGAACCACCATGGCCGGCAACCGTTACTGGCTACTGGGATTAGCCACTTCGACTAATCCCCAGGACTGGCCATAGCAAAGATACCGGGCTACAGAGACCCAGCATGGCCACTCATATATATATATATATCCAATAGTATAGCGATATATTAGAGGTTTCTCATTCATTGGGTTTATACATATATAAATATAAGAGCCCTTCATAACATTGCGTTTTACCTTCATACAAATACGCGACATGTCTCCAATGAATAATGCCTATTAAATCAGTCCACGAAGAACTATGGACGGACGAATGAATGAATGAATGAATATATAGATGGATGGATGAATGAATGAATGAATACAAAGATGAATGAATAAATGAATGGATGATGAATGAATGAACAAATAAATGAATGGTTTGGTATGGGTGGATGGATGGGTGGATAGATGAATGAATACATAAATAAATGAATGAATGAACGGACGAATACATTAATGAATGGTTGACATGGTTACTCATTGGCTATATATTTTACACACTCTGTACATTAGGATATAACTCTTTTAATTTTGAAATCCACTTTTCATTATATGCCTGTGATATATAGCTTTTACAGTCATTGGAATGTTATCACCGTGACGATAATATGAGACAGCCCCATTTCCGGCTGAAGTGGGCGTGGGAGGGCGTACTCCCACAGAATGACGGACCCAGTGAACCACCTTTCACACAGATACAACTTATATATTTTCCAAGAAACATCGATCAGTAAATTTTATCAGATTATTTCACACTGTTGAATCTTACAATTATATGACACGTGACCACAAATTACGTAACTTCTGAAACTTAAAAAGCTGAATTTCACATTGTTATCTGTATTGTCAAAACTGCCACGGTCCAATTAATGAAATGGTGGTTTAATGTTATATTATACACAGCTTTTGGCATGGATGTGTGGTTTCAGACACAACTTTTGCAAGAAAGTTGCACATGACACATGGTTATATACGAAACTTGTTATGCACAAACTAGAATTTAAACGGAATAAAAATATAAGGTAGAGTCCAACAGAAAACTATTTTTGTTTCGATATGGCATTTTGATAGAAACGATTAGAGTACGATTTTTCATAAAATCACACTCGAAAATTTCCTGTGCATGCAGGTAAATCATACACGTATGTACGTTCAACTAGAGTTTTGTTATTATTTATGCAAACAATACTGCTATATTTGCTGCTAAAACAAAACAAAAATCGTATCTTTATTGTTTTTATCAAAATGGAAATATAATATTGATATTTGCTAAAAATAGCACATTGCCTCTTTTAGTTTGAAATACATAATTCTAATAGTGTACAGAATAAGTAACGCATACAGAACACGGGCAATTTGGGTATGATCTCCAAGCAATCAATCAAACAATAATGAATGAAACTGAACATGATTTAAATAAACTTTCTTTCAATCAATTACATGGGGGTGACGCATCAGTGTCAACACAAGACCCGACATACAATTCCAACATTCACTTAGAGATTGCTCCGCGTAATACCAGCGGGGTAATCTAGGTTACCGCCCACGCTGTCTTTGAGCTGATACTTGTCATACGTAATTGATGGTGATAGTTTATTTTTACGTCCTCAAATAATCAGTTCAATCCGTCGCCAAGCGATGACTGAGTACTAGTCATGAACCGCGTAATTGACACAATGTGTCGATTTCATCTGATAAAACAACACGCGTTGTCGATAACACAATTCATTGCCAAAATATTTCGGTTAATGCGAAATTCAGACCATCTTTCTCTGGCCTCCTAGTAACTACAGGGATTTAAACAAATCCAAACTATTATTCATAATAACGATCCAATAAACGTACAATATTGCATGATTTGCAACTAACTCGTAGAACGTGCTAGTAACAACTAGTACTGTCGTTACCCTATCTTTGAGTTTTCCATGCGAGTTTTAGAACGAGGTATTGAATTTTTGAGCATGCGATACGATCAGAGAAGAACACTTAACGGATCACGTGTCAAGTAATCTAATACAGAAATTGAAGTCGCATATACCTCTATAACCCCGCGCAGTAAATAAGAACGTGGGAAAGTCGACCAGTAATGGACGTATCATTAGTTTTTACGGGGGTGTAAATACTTAAAGACCAAATTGTTCTCCACTGTCCTTACACTTTGTAGATTAACGTTCTCATTGGGGTTAAAATACTAACTGACCTCATAGATAATATGACACGATCTGATGATTTCACAGTCTCCGAACCCGTTTTGATATAGTCCTGGCACCCACACACTGAAACTGCACGACGCTTTGGTAATATTCCGGGTTTGTACACTTCGAATTGGGCAAATATAACAATCGAAATGGGCTTGACAGAAATAGATTTGACAACATTCCATAGATACGGTTGGAGTATCGTAATTTCAAATATCGAAATAATAAATGCAAATTATTGTTTGTTTTACTTTCCAACTATTGGTCTAGGTGATAAATATACGCGGATTTGGCATACGTCACTGTGCTAACTTTTAATTGATATATGCGCAGTATTTATTAGAGCGTCATTGTTTTAGCGTAGTAGTATTATGCAAACGTTCTTTATATATGTATAGTATTCTAACAAAAATGTGATAGCAATCCGCTGGTTCTCTGTTCCATCATTGGAGACAATGCAGTATTATCGGTACTCGGTTAGTATTAAGAAAAAAACTTTACCTGGATATACTATATGTTTATATTATATTATATTATATTATATTATATTATATTATATTATATTATATTATATTATATTATATTATATTATATTATATTATATTATATTATATTATATTATATTATATTATATTATATTATATTATGCTTTTTGGTTCACGGGTAAAATAAAATAAAAGACGATCACGTAACAGTAAAAAACACCTTGGAACCCCGTAGGCAGGCCGGTGACACCGGTTCGCACTTAAGGGGGTACCAACCCCCCTTCCAAATTCCAAGGGAAAATCAAAACATTTAAAACACAGAACAAGTAACATAAAACATATATGCGCTGCTGTAAGTGTGTGCAATGATAGCCCACCAAGAGGACAAAACTCTTGGCTCCTGTGCGTGTGCTAAGTTTGTAAATACAATGATGTTCGTTTGTATCGATGTTTAACAACAAGACAAAGCAACTTCCTGCTTTAAATAGATCGTACCTGCCATGTTTACAGTAGAATGCGAAGTGTGTTATCCTCGATTTTACATAGTGCATCCTCTACCGTCCACATAATCTCAAATTCA